AAATAGGCATAAAAATATTTTTTTCAGATTTTTTGGACACAAGTAAAAGGTCGCGCCGGCCCGTCAAAGTTAACATGCAAGTCTTATGGGACAAACGGCTAAAAAGTGTTTTTCGCCTTTTTCTCTTTCAGTTTCTATTATTTTCGAATTCTGATTGGAGAAATGGAATCTACGCGTAAAAACACGTCCGGTGACATACGGTACGGCATATTCGTCCCAATAGTTTTCGTGCTGTGCTACGCCGAAAGAGTCTAAAAAGGCTAAAATTTCCTTTATTTTAGAAAAAAGATATCTTTATTTTGAGTGCAACAACTCCGAGCGGCACATCGTCGGGCGCGTTTTTACGCGTAGATTCCATTTCTCCAAACAGAATTCAAGAAAAATTGAAACTGAAAGAGAAAAAGGCGAAAAACACTTTTTAGCCGTTTGTCCCATAAGACTTGCATGGTAACTTTGACAGGCCGGCGCGACCTTTTACTTGTGTCCAAAAAATCTGAAAAAAATATTTTTATGCCTATTTTTGGACAGAGAACGAGATAGGACCCCGCCCCCTCGACATTTAAATACATTTGCGAAAATGAACGTATCTAGCCCGGCAGTCCTTAACGCCCCAAGTTTCCCGCCGGGAAGCGGGCCCCCTTTTTAGCAAGCTCCGCACAAGGAAACCAACCAATGGCCGGGGGGAGGAGGGGGGGTCTCGTCTCGCCCCTCATCAAAATTAATAAACCAATTTCCGGGCCCTGCGTCGCGCGCCGGCGCCTATACCGGCGACTAAAACTTTTTAAACTGCTCCGCAGCTGCCGCGCTGTTTCTGTTGCCGTTGCCGGTGTGAGCGGGCGAGCGAGACGGCCATGCTATACGCGATTCCGACGGGTGTGCCGGCAGAACAGCAGGCCCCACTGCTCTGCCCCTACCCAACAGCGAGGGGGGAAATAATGTGTGAGCCGTGAAACTACCAACCTGTAGACGGGGTGGTGCATCAGGAGCAGTCCACTGTCATCCATCCACTGCTTTTTCTGCAACAACCAAAAGACGACGACTTGTTACATCTCATCAACAGTAATTTTCAAGCAAACCACAAACTTATTGATTTTCAAATTAAAGTAAATGTGCACCCTGGTGAAAAAAAGCACAAAAAAGAGTGACATAAAACTGCACTGCATTTTATGAAAAAATGGACTCACCTTTTTCTTTTTTCGTAACGACACTCGAACGCCGTCCACAGAGACCTCAAGAAGCACCTTTTTCTTCTTCACTCCTTTCGCTTTGAATTCGTACTGTGGAAAAAAATTAACAGGAAAAAAATTATAACAAAAACTCTTTCTTTAATATTCTCTTAGACAAATTTTCTGCATACACTTCCTTTCAGCCCCGTCCTAAGAGCAGCGCGCGGCACGCCCACCACAGCCAGCAGGCGGGTGTCCCGCACCCCGCATAATTTAATTTGCGAAAT